AAGACTGAGGGCCTTCCCTGTAAAATCAGGAACAAGACAATGATGCCCGCTTTCAGCGCTGCTATTCAATATTTTACTGGAAGTTCCAGTATTTTACTGGAAGTTTGCATTTAGGCCAGAAGAACTAAACTGAAAGGAAAAAGTAAAACTATCCCTTTTCACAGATCACATGATCCTATGTATAAAACCCCAAAGAACCTACAAGAAAGCTACTAGAGCTAATAAATGAATTTAGCAAAGTAGCAGCATAAAAGATCAACACACAAAAATCAGTCCGATTTCTAAACATCAGCAGTGAGCATTCTGAAAAAGAAATTAAGGTAGCAATTCCATTTACAGTAACATTTAAAAGAGTAAAATACCTAGCAATAAATTTAACCAAGGAAGTGAAGGACTTGTACACTGAAAACTATAAATCATTACTGAAGGAAATTAAAGAAGACCTACATAAATGGAAAGACAGTCCCTGTTCATAGATTGAGAGACTTATATTGTGAAGATGTCAATATTAACTGTAGGAATGTATACCATATTTTTATGTAAATAATGCACACCTTCCGTGTTTGCGGGCCACCCCCCACCCCGCCCCGCCCAAGGTATTTTTGTAAGCTCTCTATGCGTTTTTTTTTTTTTTTTTACAGCAACATGTGGAAGTGGATTGGCATGGCGGTGCTTGTGAGGGTGCCTCGCGGCGGGGGGGACGGTACAGCCAGGAAACAAATGCAAAAGACGTGCATTATCTGCATAAAAATATAGTAGATTCAATGCAATTCCTATCAAAATTACAACAGGTTTCTTTGCAGAAATGAAAAAGCCAATCCTCAAATTTATATGGAATGGCAAGGGGGCCCAAATAGCCAAAGTAGTTCTTGAAAAACAAGAACAAAGTAGGAAGACTCACACTACCTGATCTGTAAATATACTATGAAACCAAACCAGGTGCTGTCGAGTCATTTCTGATTCACTGTGACTCCATGTACTATAAAGCTACAGTAATGAAAACAGTCTGGTACTAGTATAATGATATACATATAGACCAATGGAATAGAACTGATAGTTCAGAAATAAACCTGTACATCTATGCTCAGTTGATTTTCGACAGGGGTGCTAAGTCCATCCAATGGGGAAAGAATAGTCTCTTTAATAAATGGTACTGGGACAACTGGATTTCCATAAACAAAAGAATGAACCTCGACTGATACCTCACATTATATACAAAGATTAACTTAAAAGGGATCGAGGATCTAAATGTGAGAACTAAAACCATAAAACTCTTAGAAGAAAACATAGCGGTAATGCTTTGGGACCTGTTTTTAACCATGATATGATACCAAAGAGCACAAGCAACAGATGACAGAATAGATAAATGGGACTTCATCACATTAAAAACTTTTGGTCATCAAAGGATTGTATCAACAAAATGAAGAAACAGCCTACAGACTGGGAGAAGATTTTTGGTAACCATATATCTAATAAGGGACTTATATGTAGAATACTTAAGGAATTCCTACACCTTAACCACAAAAAAGACAAACAGCCCAATTAGAAAATGTACAAAGGACTTGAATACACATTTCACCAAACAGGAAACACAAGTGGCCAACAAGCACATGAAAAGATGCTCTAGGTCATTCATCATCAGGAAATGAAATCAAAACTATAATGAGATAGCACTTTATTCCCACCAAGATGGCTATGGTTAAAAAAACAAACAAAAAAAAGAGGTGTTGGCGAGGATGTAGAGAAATTACAACACTCATCCATTGCTGGTGGGACTGTGAAATGGTAGAGCTGCTGTGGAAAACAGTATGGCAGTTCCTCAAAAAGTTTAACAGAATTATCATGTGATCCAGCCATTCCCCTCTTAGGTAGATACCAGTTACGGATTGAATTATGTCTCCCAAAAATATGTTGTAAATCCTAACCTCTCTGCCTATGGTTATAATCCCATTTGGGAATGGCTTGTCTTTGTTATGTTAATGAGGCAGGATCACTGTAGGGTGTATCTTGAGTCAGTCTCTCTTGAGATATAAAAGAGATTAAACAAGCAAGCACAGATGGGGTTAAGAGAGATGCCAAGCCACATGGAGATCTCCATGGAATCAGGAAGTAGAAACTAAAGAGACAAGGACCTTCTTCCTGAGCTGACAGAGAGAAAGCCTTCTCCTAGAGCCAGCGCTCTGAATTTGGACTTTTAGCCAACTAAACTGTGAGAAAATAAATTTATTTTTGTTAAAACCATTCACTTTTTGGTATTTCTGTTATAGCAGCACTAGATAACCAAGACAGTACCCAAAAGAATTGAAAGCAGGAACACAAATGGATACTTGTACACCAATGTTCACTGCATCACTATTCATAACAGGTAAAAGGTGGTAACAGCCTAAATGACCAAAAACAGATGATTGGATAAACAAAATATGCTATATACATACAATGGCATATTACTTACTCAAAAAGAGAAATGAAGTTCTGATACATCCTACAACATGGATGAACTCTGAAAGCTTGCTAAGTGAAATAAGTCAGCCACAGAAGGACAAATATTGTGTGATCCCAATTATATGAAATATCTAGAATAGACAAATGTGTCGAGACCAAAGTTTACTGGTGGTTACCAGGGGTAGGAGAAAAGGGGGTAAGAGGGGTCACTGCTTAGGGTGCACTGAGCTTCTGTTGATGGTGATGGTTGCACACCACGATAAACATAATTAATGTCACTGTACTGTACATGTAAAAAGTGCTGAAATGGCAAAGAAAACTACTGGCCCTAAGGGCTTCACTGGTGAATTCTTTCAAACATTTAAGGAAAAAATAATACCAATTCTACACAAACTCTTCTGGAAAACTGAATAGGAGTGGATACTTCCTAATTCACTGATGAGGCCAGCAATGTCCTGATAATCAAGAACATACAAGAAAAGTAAACTACAAACAGTATCTCTCATGAGATAGACGAAAAATAGATGTAAATATAAACACAGATCTAAAAATTCTTTAAAAGTTTTAACAAATAAAATGAATGTATAAAAAGGATAATATCATGATCAGGTGGGGTTTTAATCCCAGAATACGGGATTGTTTTAACTTTCAAAAATCAGTGTAATTCACCATATTAAAGTAAAAAAGAAAAAACATATGATCATCTGAATAGATGAGGAAAAATAATCTGACGAAATCCAATTCCTGATAAAAACTCTTCACAAGCTAGGAACAGAAGGGTACTTCATCAACCTGATAAAAAGCACCTACAAAAAACCTACAGCTATTTAAAGGTGAAAGACTGCGTGCTTTTCCTAGAAGATCATGAACAACGCAAGAATATCTGCTCTCACAGGTTTTATTCAACATTGGAGGTTCTGACCAGTAAAATCAGTCAAGAAAAAAATAAAAGGCATTTAGATTTGAAAAGAAGAAACAAAACTGACGTAATTATCTATGTAGAAGATCTCATGCAATCTACAAAAAGCTACTAGAACTAATAAGCCAGTTTACAAGATTGTAGCATACAAGATCAATATAAAACAATTGTTTTTCTACATTATAGCAATGAACAATTGGAAATAGATAGTAAAAAAAAAAAAATTTGCAATGGTATCAGAAATGTGAAATACACAGGAATAAATCTGACAAAAGGCATGAATGAACTGTACACTGAAAGCTGCAAAGCACTGCGGAAAGGAATTAAAGATGACATAAATAAATGGAGAGATTTACCTGGTTCATGGGTTGGAGATTCAATATTGTTAAGACTGTCAGTTCTGTGAAAATTGATTTATAGATTCAACATTGTCCCAGTCAAAATCTCAGCAGGCTTTTTTTTTTTAAGAAATTGGCAAACTGATTCTAAAATTCGTGTGGAAATGCAAAAAGATCTACAATAGCAGAAACAACCAACTGACAAAAAGAACAAAGTTGGAGGCCTATCACTACATGATTTCAAGACTTACTATAAATCTGCAGTAATTAAAACACTGTGGTATTATTATAAAGATAGACAAATAGATCAATGTAACACAATACAGAGTCTGGGAATAAACCCACACATACAAGGACAACAGATTCTTGACAAAGTGCAAAGGTAATTCAATGAAGAAAGGATTGTTTTTCAAAATACATGGTGCTGGAACAACTGGAGATATATATATGTATATATACATAAGTTGTACATTTATATATAAATGAACGTTGATCCATATCTCACACCATATACAACAATTATCTCAAAATGGATCTAAATGTAAAATGTAAAACCTAAAACTGGTAGAAGAAAACATAAGAGAAAAATTGTGTGACCTTGGGTTCGGCAAAGATTTATCTATCACGGCAAAAGCATAATCTATAAAGGGACAAACTGATGAACGGGACTTCATCAAAATCTACAACTTCTATTCACTGCTAAGAGAAAGAAAAGATAAGCCACAGACTGGGAGAAAATGCTTGCAAACCATATATATGATAAAAGAATTGTATTCTGAATATAAAGAAATCTCAAAACTTAATATTGAGAAAAAAATGCAATAAAAAAATGGGTAAATTATTTAAACAGTTGCTTTCTCAAGAATAGACACACATGGCAAATAAGCACATGAAAAGATGCTCAACCTCATTAACTTTGTTAGTCTTTAGGGAAATTCAAAGTAAAACCATAATGAGATACCTCTACACACTTATTACCTGTTGCCGTTGAGTCAATTCCAACTCATAGCGACCCTATAGTACAGAATAGAACTGCTCCATAGGGTTTCCAAGGATTGGCTGGTAGATATGAACTGCTGACCTTTTGGTTAGCAGCTGTAGCTCTTAACCACTGTGCCACCAGGGCTCCACACACCTATTAGAATGGCTAAAATGAAAAATTTTTGTTGAGTATGTTGAGGAACTGGAACTCTGATACACTCCAAGTGAGAATGTAAAATGACAGAACTACTTTGGAAAATGGCAATTTCTTACAAAGTTAAACATACACTTACCATATCATCTCGTCTTTCCATTCCTAGGCATTTCTTCAATAAAGGTATATGTTCCTACAAAGATCTGTACACAAATGATCATACAAGCCTTATTTTTAACAGTACCAAACTGGAAACAATTCAAATGTCTATCAACAGGTGAATGGATATTTTTTTTTTAATTGTTTTTTAGATGAAGGTTTACAGAACAAACTAGCTTCTCAAACAGTACACATATTGTTTTATGACACTGGTTAACAACCCCACCACATGTCAACACTCTCCCTTCTCGACCTTGGGTTCCCTATTACCAGCTTTCCTGTCCCCTCTTGCCTTCTAGTCCTTGCCCCTGGGCTGGTGTGCCCCTTTAGTCTTGTTTTATTGGCCTGTCTAATCTTTGGATGAAGGGTGAACCTCAGGAGTGACTTCATTACTGAGCTAAAAGGGTGTCCAGGGGCCAGACTCTCAGGGTTTCTCCAGTCTCTGTCAGGCCAGTAAGTCTGGTCTTTTTTTGTGAGTTAGAATGTTGTTCTACATTCTTCTCCAGCTCTGTCCAGGACCCTCTATTGTGATCCCTGTCACAGCAGTCAGTGGCTGGGCACCATCTAGCTGTACTGGTCTCCGACTGGTGGAGGCCATGGTAGTTGTGGTCCATTAGTCCCCTGGACTAATCTTTCCCTTATGTCTTTAGTTTTCTTCATTCTCCCTTGTTCCTGAAGGGGTGAGACCAGTGGACTATCCTATATGGCTGTTCACAGGCTTTTAACACCCCAGATGCTACTCACCAAAGTAGAATGTAGAACATTTTCTTTGTAAACTATGTTATGCCACCTAAGCTAGATGTTCCCCGAGACCATGGTCCCCACAGCTCTCAGCCCAGCAATTTGGTCCCTCAAGGAGTTTGGATGTGTCTATGGAGCTTCCATGACCTTGCCTTGTACAAGTCGTGCTGGCTTCCTCAGTGAATGGACAAATTTTGATGTATTTATACAAGGGAGTATGTGCGTCAGAATCAACTCAAAGGCAATGAGTTTTTTTTTTTCGTAATGTACTACTTAGCAATAAAAAGGATTAAACTGTTAATATATGTAACAACATGGATGAATCTCAAAATAATTATGCTGAGTGGTATAAAAAGACACAAAAAATAGGGTACATATATATAAAATTCTAGAAACTTTACAGTGACAAAGATCAGTGGTTGCCTGGGGAGAGAGGTGTGAGAAGGAATGGATTATAAAGAAGCAGGAGACAACTCTTAAGGATGATGGATTTGTTCGCTATCCTGATTCTGGCAATGGTTTCACAGGTGTATACATGTTAAAACTTATCAGCTGTACATTTAAAAAATATATACGTTAAGTTATAAATTATACATGTTAAATATATGCAGTTTACTGAATGTAAATTATACCTTAACAAAGTTGTCTTTTAAAACGTATCCAGAAAAAAGAATAAAAGAAAATAAGTTGAAATATAATGGGGAAGCAATGGGGCATAGTTGTACTCTGACACACGAGGTTGCCGTGAGTCAGAATTGACTCAACGGCAACTGGTTAACATTTATTGGGCACATACTATGGGCCAAGTGCTGGGCAGGTGTTAAGTAAGAATTGTAGTATACACAAATATATCAGTTTCTATGTGCCAGGGACTGTTACATACTTTTTACATATATTATTTGATTCTCACAACTCATTGAAGCAGAGACTACTTTTATCCCCATTTTACAGAGTCACACAGCGACTGAGGGAGGGAGCTGAGATTCAAACCTGAGTAGAGTGGTGTTGTAATGAATTTTTAGATACCCATTAAGCTATGTAGTTTTATTTCCGTTTTACAAAATGAGGAATCTGTAGCTCAGAAAGGTGGTACTTTTTCAAGGTCAAAATTGGTAAATAGTGTAGCCAAGATTCAAATTTAAACTTGTTTTACTCCAGAATATACACTCTTCTACACTAGATTGCCTCCATACCAGGAGTGACAGAGTATATACTACTACTGATAACTGTTAACTTAGATCGTGTTACCTACTTCTCCCACACCCCTTTTACCAGTCAACATGTTGCCTGGTATGATTGCTGAATGTAGATTAGAATATACTTGGCACTAGTAAGGAAGCATGAGCTAAACATACTTGGTTTATTTTGACACAATTCCATTTTCAATATTTAGATCTTCTTGGTTGAAGCCAAGAGAGTAAGCAAGAACACATGAAGAATAAAATCCAATCTCTTCTAAAGCAATTATCCCATTCCTAGGTAGAGTTCAACAGACAAAACTTGTACCATGAAATTGTTTGTTGGTGACTTTTGGAGGCAACACAGGGTGGTTGTTGTTAGCTGCCGTCAGTTGGCCCCCAGTTTGTGGCATCTCATGCACAACAAAATTGGACTGTTATGATCCATAAGAGTTTCATTAGCTGGTTTTTAGAAGTATAGCACCAGGCCTTTCTTCTTACTCTTAGTCTGGAAACTGCTGAGACCTGTTCAGCATCAGGTCTTGACTGACAGACAAGTGGTGGCATAGGGTAGTACCTAAGAACAATAACACTGGAATCAGACCTGGATGCAAATTATGGCTCCGCCCACTAGCCAGCTATATGACCTTGAAGAAGTGACTTAATCTGAGCCTCAGTTTTGCCTATTTGTGAAATGGATTACTGATACCTCATAGGGTTGTTGTGAACATTAAAGAGATACTGTATATTAAGCACTTAACATAGCATCCAACATACTTACTGTACATACTCAAAAAATATTCCACTTCTAGTTACTATAAAGATATTCCTACTTAACTGTAGGAAACCAAAGCCATATCAGATTAGATATTGATGAAATGCTAAAAGCATTTTATGATATAATACCCTGTTTACAGAAAATGTGTCATGTAGATTCCAAAAGCATCTAGTTCAGAGTATTAAACTTAATCCTTTCCTATTTAAAGAAACACGTAAAATAACACATTTTAAAATCAAATTCTCTTTAAAAGTGGTTTTCTGTTTACATAGGTCTATAGCCAAGATTTGCTCTGGAGGTGGAAATTCATGTTGACCCTGACAGTTTTATGTTAAAGCAAATTCCATATTTAAAAGCTAAATAGTCTGGATGACTTGTATTAGTGTGTCTTTTATATTCTATAATTTTGAAACCATAGCCTTTACAGAAAAGTTGCACATACGCATTTTGTGTTTTAGTGCACATAATTTGTGTAAGCTGGCAAGGAGCACATTCAAATAAAAATTGAGAACATGGAGTGAGATAATCCAAAAAAGCTAAGTCTTTCAATTTAATTCATTCAATTTGTTATTCTCACCTGCTATTGTCAACCAAAATGAAGAGATTAATGTATAAAAAGGACAGCTTTGTCTGCCCTGAAGGACAGTTTCAAAGCTAGATCATCTGCTTTGAAATTGCTGTTAAGTTGATACATTCCCTTATTAGCCCATAGTTTCGATTAATTCCTGTGTGATAATGACTTTCACCTGTACATCTCCAGGCCAGATAGCTTACCTTTCTTGAGTCCTCTGAAATCTGACATCAGGCTTTTTTTTTTTTTCCTTCAAGCTATTTTTTCCAACTTTCTTGGCTATTGTTGGTGACATCCCAATATTTTGGACCTTCAAGCTTACATAAACATTCTCCCCCTCCGTTATTTTGTTGTCTTCCCATAGATAAACTATTGCTAAACCTGTTTTATCTTATAGTTACTCCTTTATAATGTCCTTCAGATATGTCCCTTTTATCTTTAAAATTGGCTATTTAATCCAAGCTCTTAAATGTCAAGCTTGAACTATATAGCCTCTTGATTTTTCTCCCTAACGTCCCATCCTGCCCCACATCCCTCCCCATCAAACTATGTTGTGTGTGCTGCTGAGTCGATTCAGACTCAGCGATCCTATAGGGCAGTAGAACTGCCCCATAGGGTTTTCTAGGCTGTAATCTTTACAGCAGCAGATCACCAGGTGTTTTCTCCGTGGAGCGGCTCGTGGATTTGAACCTCCCATCTTTCGGTTAGCAGCCAAACACGGAAACTTCCAACAACATGTATGTAATGTAAAATACTTTTACCTACGGTAATACTCTGAAGAGACCTGCTGCAGGTTGAGTAAGGAGAACCTGGCTAGACAGAGGGAGTTTAAATGGGATCTCCTTTTGTTTCAGTGATTCTACCAGGAAGGAAAACAGAAGTGCAGAACCTTCAGGAACTGAATCACAAGGTAGACAAATATCCAATTGGAGATTGTTGCTAGCAAGAGACTGATGATAATACGTAATAGCAATTGGGAAGATAAAAGGAGACAGAAAATTCAAGCTTTTGCTAGCCATTCTTTCCCTTTTTGCTCTCCACATACCTGAGTTGGGAATCCTTCTATGTGCACTATTTATTTGGTTTGTGTTATACTGTTAATTATAATGTAATCTAGAAGGCCAGGAGAGCTGACCAACAAAGAAGAGAAAGCAGTTTATTCTGACCATAGTGACATAAACATCTGTTTAGAAACACCCTAGCACTTAGGGCCTTCTAATATAAGCCCATTACCAGCTCTTTTCCTTTCTATTTCATGTCTCTCTACTTTCTTGTGTTCTGTGTTCCTACTAAAGATTGTGCTCAAAGATGACCTGCCTGATCTGCTCTGCAATAATTTTGCTTATTGCTGTATCTCTAGTGCCTTGAACAGTGCCTAGCACAGAGTAAGCGCCTAATAAGTATTTGATGAACGAATGAATGGTTATTTTTTTCTGTCTGGCAGTCCACATCCATCACTACCTTACAGTTCTACATAAAATTTGCCTATACCAGTAAACTTGTATCCTTTATCAATCCAGTCTTAAACCACTTCATTTTTCTACATCCTCTTAGCAATTATAGTTTGCACTGCATTAATATACTCTTATGTCATTTTTCACATACATATTTCTTCTACAGATATATGTACTTGCTGTTGTTAGTTGCCACTGAGTCGATTCTTACTTGTGGCAATCGCATTGTGCAGAGTAGAACTGCTTCACAGAGTTTTCAAGGCTGTGACCTTTTGGAAGTAGATTGCCAGGACTGTCTTCTGAGGTGCCTCTGGGTGGGTTGGACTGCAGTCTTTCAGTTAATAGTTGAGCACTTAACCACTTGTGCTACCCAGGGACTGACCATGTCTGTGTCTACCTCTGTCTCTGCCCGTCTGTCTATATATATACAGAGTATATGCTGGCGTCCCTGGGTAGCACAAATGGCTAAGCACTCAGCTAATAGCTGGAAGGTTGATGGTTTGAACTTTCTCAGAGGTGCCTTGGAAGACAGGCCTGGTGATTGGCTTCTGAAAAGTCACAGCCTTGAAAACCCTATAGAGCACAGCTGTACACTGCATACATAGGGTTGCCACGAGTCAGGATCGACTTGACAGCAAGTAACGATACAGAACATAGTATATGCCACTCAACAGTGCCTCATTTGCTACAGAAAAGTAAATACTCAATAGACAGGTAGGCCTGTATTTTAAGACATATTCCCTGACTCAGTGTGGTCTGCCTTGAAAAGGGAGTTTAGATACATAGGTTCTATTTTTGCCATTTCACTCATAGATTGGGTGACTTTGAGCAAGCTGTTCATTCAGTGCCTAGTTTAACAACAAATTAAGAAAAGAAACAGTTTGGTAACAACAAATTAAGAAAAGAAACAGTTTGGTAAAGAAAAAAATTTAAAGTTCTAGAAGCATTTGTATGTTGCTAACATTTCTCCAGAAATATTTAAGAGTTCTGATTGGTTAATTTGAATCTTTTCTTGGAATTCCCACAGAAATGTCCATGTAGCAGAGAAACTGAAAGTGTTATAAGAATATATAATTATTAGTGAATTATAAGAAGACCCCTAACTACTTCTTCACAGAGAAGAACCAGATAATATCCTGGATTTTCCCAGTACTTAAGCTACTCCTTAGTTGTCTTACGAAGGAATTACTACAGCAGAACACATTCAAGGAATTGCTGAGGTGTCAGACTAAGACTGTACAAAGTGTAACTGTTTCTATAATAGATTTGCAAATAACTGAATGAAGTGTCATTTATTCTCTGGCCTCTTTCTCCATCCATACTGTCGTCTTCTGACAACAGTAAAGTTGGGCAACCTATACATAAAAGCAGTTTCTAATGTTGCCAAATCAACAGCAGTTTCTAGGTCCTTTCCATTCCCTCCATGAAAGTGTACAACACTTAGGTTATTCCACAGATCTCCTACATGTCCCAGAGTGCCAGGCTGTCAAAACTGATCAGGTAATATTACTATTTGCCTTCTTGCAATCATTCTAAGTACACATAAAATCAGACATTAACATGAATATATAGAGGAAAGAAAATCATAAAACCACTGAGTTTTAGTTTTATTTATATTTGTATAGAATACTTCCTGTTTATGATTTTAGAAGTACAACCATGCAGTGCTTCTTTTAAAAACCAAATAATTGAGAAGTTTGAGGATTACAATGACAACTTACCCAAAGAAAACACAACACGCTAGACTTAAACGACTATCTTCATTTGTGTGACTGCTATCTTCATTGTGTAAAAAATGAGTATTTTTCAGACATTTATTAATAGTGTAGTTAAAAGGGAACTTGATGTCCTTGTGACCCTGAAACATGAATCTTGGTTTTGAATTTGACTAAGTTAATGGTTTTCACAAACCAAACCAAAATTCCTCTAATATATAAAGACAATGCTTACAAAAATGTGCTTTTTCCTCATTTTGACATTTCAGTTGCCAACTGACTATTGTTATGCATGATTAACAATTCTGCCTTAAGGAGTAGAAACAGGGGCCCTGGTGGTACAGTGGTTAAAGCACTTGGCTGCTAACCAAAAGATTGGTGGTTCAAATCCACCAGCCGCTCCATGGGAGAAAGATGTGGCAGCGGCTTCTGTAAAAATTTACAGCCTCACTAGGAGTTGGAATCTACTCGGTGGCAACGGTTTTGGTTTTTAAGGAGTGAAAGGGTAGAGGTGAATGCAATTCTTAAATAATAACTCCTTTCTTTCACTATTGTTCTATTCTGAGGCATAATTATGTGTTAATTTTTCTTTTGGTAACCACTTCAGAGTGTGTGTGTGTATGTGGAGAGAGCAGCCGCAAGTGAGTGCTCCAGCACCTGTGAGCTACTAGCTAGACATCAAAGTCTGTCTGCACTTCTGGGGCACACAGAAAAACTTCAAATCCCAGCCTCCCTTGCTGTTAAGTATGGGCAGGTGACTACGTTATAACCAATGGAATGACAATGAAAGTGATATGTACTACTTTGAGCCCTTTTCCCCTTAAAAAAACTCACCTTCCAACAGACTGAAGTACAGAATACCCACCACCCCAGGCAGACCTTGCAAATCAGGTACTGAAAGGCATTGGAAACTACTTACTAAACTAACTTGTTTACTTTACCAAGAAACAAATTTGAGCTATTATATATTTTTGGGAGCCCTGGTGTTGCAGTGGTTAAGAGTCTGACTGCTAACCAAAAGGTGGGCAGTTCGAATCCACTAGCTGCTCCTTGGAAACCCTATGGGGCAGTTCTACTTTGTCCTATAGGGCCGCTATGAGTTGGAATGACTCAAGAGTAATGGGTTTGGCTTGGTTTTATATATTTTTAGGTTGATCTGTTATGGCAATTAGCCTACTCTAATTCATTATACAAAACTTACATATGCAGTGTCCCTATGATGCAAACTCCAGGGGGCACCATTTACATTGTAACCTATGTAAACAGCATCTCCTGAAACACAAATAGGAGGCTATATGTACATGTACATATATAGATGTTTCCCCAAGGAATTGTGCAACCCTGTGGCTTGCCAAACTAACTCAAACTTTTCTCTTAACTTGGCTTTTATTGCATAAGGGCTTTGATTTGTGAGGGCACTTCCCTTTTGTGATAGCAGAGAAAAGTGGAATGGAAGGGATCATTCCCTAAGTATAAAGGGAAAATGTTTACTTAGGATCCACACCAAATCTCTTTCTTGGGTTTGCTGAACTGTGTTGGCTACATACTATTCCCAAAACCTATTACCCTCTGGCATGCTTTAAGGCCCAAACAGAGTGTTTGGGACCACCCTACCCACCCCGCCCCACTTCTCTGCCCCTCCCCACAAAGAGCTCACTGCTCTGAGTAGTAAAAATGTTTTATTAACCTGGGCTTCACTTTCCTTATTTGTAATATGAGAGTTGGATTATATGACCTTAAAGAACCCTTTCTTCACTAAAGTTTTACCATCTATGACTATAATGTCTACAGGTATCAGAACATGAGAATTCTTTCAAATTCCAAATTGGTATTATAAACTCTCACCAGTTCACAATCAAATGGGCACAACAGAGGTCCTGCTCTTCTCCCAAGCAAAAGCTATTAAGTGGAGATTTTAAAACTCATTTATTTTTGGAGAATAATTTTAAAGCAGTATGTCACCTTTCTGATTTCTGTACTTTATTCATTGGGTGGAGAAGTATTAAAGCTAATGCAGAATTAGATATTAATCAAAATAATATAGCATGCTACAAAAAAATTTAAGAAAAACAACTAGACAGCAGACTGTGTAGCTTTTGACTGAAAGTACCAGTGAAAACCTTAAATTTTACTTTTTGTAACTGTGTATTTATACTTTAAAATCTCAGCGTAACAACAATTCATACTATTGCAAGTTCAGGATCATGGTAAAATCACCAAAGTCATAGTTACTTTATATATGTTAATATATATGTATGTATATAAATAAGTCAATACATATAAAAATTATATATTCAATTTATATAAGTCTTCTCCTATGTACATATGTATTTGTGTGTGTGTATATAATGCTAAATCACATTTTTTGGTATAGCTAATTGAAATGATGGTCTGCTTGTTGGTCTGCTGGTTGGGTTTTAAACTCATGGATGTCAACTTTTGCTAAAGCTTAAACGTACATTATCCAGAATTTACGCAGGCATGCAATTGGCTTTAATTCACATTCTTTTGCTGCAGGGGAGCTCTAGAAATATGGAGCTCACTCAGGGATGCTATTGTTTTAGAAAGGAGAAAGGACAGCTGCAAAGTGGAGTTTTTATGTTGAGAGAAAGCCATGTCTAGGCTGGAGTAAATGAGAAGAGAAATCTCTGTAACTTTGTTTTCCCCCTACAAAAGGAATAGGATGGAAGACAGCCTGCAACAGTAGACAAATATGGATTCTAAAATGTCTTTATAATAGCATAAATTGGAAAGAAAACAGTCTAAATGTGTAAAATGAGGGGATGGATAAATTTTTGTATATCCATATGTTGGAAGGCTATGCAGATGTTAAAAACACGTTTTCAAAAATATTCAACAGCATGAGAAAATGGTCATTATAAAAACTAATGAGGGAAGAAATAGTATATAAAACTGTATATATAGTATTTGGTGACTATATAGTTTAAAAATGTGGGGAGGAAACATACAGGAGTATTACTAACATTGGTTTTTCTCTGGCTGGTGGGATTATAGGTGACTTAATACTTCTCTGTGGTTTCCAACATTTCTCTAACACGTTTTGTTTATAATTCTAAAATATTTTGAAAGAAAATAGTGCCCACATATGTAAATGTAGTTGTGTAAAATATGTATACACAACTAATTATTTCTGTATATCAAAACCTGACCAAAAATACTGAGTTTGGCTGTTTTCAGGATGGTAATGTAACTAAAGTTTTTGCTTGACTGCCACTTTATACTGAGATCTTTAAGGTTGGAGAGAGGAGTGTGTTTCACAGTTTCTGAAAGGGCATGCATAGTGTGAAAAAGCATAGAAGCTTTCCTCAATTTTCACATCTTGAATTTTAATAAAACCTGAAGCTACTGAATGATGGTCAGTCAGCACTTAATACTGTTTTGAAGAATAAACAAATGAAGATATAGTTGAATATGTATTCAAAAGATCTTTGTGCATGTTTATATTATATATGCATATATATATATATTTTAAAAACTTTTTCTTGATTTTTTATAATAGTGGTTTAATACAATATTGGAGCCCTGGTGGCACAGTGGTTAAGAGCTTGGCTGCTAACCTAAAGGTCAGCAGCATGAATCCACCAGCCGCTCCTTGGAAACCTCTACGGGGCAGTTCTACTCTGTCCTCTAGGGTTGCTATGAGTCGGAATCGACTCAATGGCGATAGGTAAATACAGTATTTGTCCTTT